GAAATCGAACGTAAAAATAGGACACGCAGTTTACGCAAAATCTCGCAGTTAACGAGAATCCCCTAATAATATTAAATGATTAACATCAAATGAACGCATTTAGCACACCGACGTTTTAGCAGCCCTGTTCATTTGTTTGCTATGTAATATATCTGTTTCTTGGGACACGCACACAATAATTTAGACTCTATGCTCTTTGTGTTGTCTATTGTACCTCTATAATAAATGCATGATATCGATCACTGTTTTCTTCCCGTTTATTCAATTGTCGTTCCACCGTTCATTGGTCAGTTTAAATACTGCACGACCGATCCACGTGATCTCCAGATGACTGTCTCTGATTACGTCTACAGCAAATCAAAGGAACTATTACAGTCGTCTCAACTGTTAGTACATTATGATAGTGGTTTGAAACCAATCTTGGATTGTGATGCTTCAATCTCCATATGGCATTGGAGCGGTACTTTCCCATAGAATGCCAAATGAAATGGAACAGCCCATAGCTTTTGCCCCTCGCACACGAGCACCTGCAGAGAAGCGATATGCCCAGATAGAACGAGAAGGACTAGCAATTGTGTTTGGTGTTACCAAATTTCATGAGTACCTATATGAGCGTGAATTTAGTATCAAAACAGATCATAACCCATTACTTCGTCTGTTAAAGGAAGATAAAGCTATGTCACACTTGGCAAGTGCCAGAATTAAACGATGGGCACTTACACTAGCCAATTATCAATACCAGTTACAATATAAACCACGAGCTAATGTGGATCACCAGTAACAGCTTGTAGCAAACTGGACAGCAAGAAATCCATTTCAATCGCAAATCTTAAAGTGGGTAACTCAAGGTTGGCCCGAGATAGAGCGGTGAAATATGTTGCTTGAGTGGCTGGCAGCAACCCGGGTACTATGATTTTAGTATGTATGTAGGGAATAGTTTCTGTACTTGAAAAGGGGTATAATTCCACAAAAATACTTCAGCATGGGTACCAGTTCTGACTTAGAGTATCCCCCTCCCTTGCTACACCATGGAGCTAGGTCCATGGCTACATGCAGTACGGGCTAGGATTTAGGCAAATGTTTGCCTATCGGATATACCGAATTACGTCCATGCATGGGAGGAAACAGGGGTTCGCACAGGCTAAGGAACGCCCAAACCTGTTACGAATATATAAAACCTTCAGACTCAAAGGGCGGTAGTTGTCGCGCTGTGCATGTGCGACATTTGTGTTGATAAGCATTGATTTTCCCATAATTCAATGCACTTTTCTAATGAAAATCACAAGTATGAGGTTTGACCTGGGCGCGACTTGCACTAATTACCGCTGGTGACTCCTTCAATATTTGCAATCACCAAAAAAATGCATAATTAAAGCTTGGTAACGTCTCAGTTTGTACTCGTTGATCTGCCCCTGGATCTGCCTAAAAGTCAAAGTCGCCATCTTTGTTTATATAAGACCCATATATCTCGCCCATGCGTGGCGCAACGACTACCGCCCTTCAACTATTATTACTCAGTACAGTAACCAGGAGGTATACATGTTAGTTCACCAAAGTTCCACGGTAGTTATAAAACAATACCAAAAGTAATTCAGAAAGTACGGAATAACAGGAAGGAGCACAGAGTCTCATTGTCAGTTCGTTTGTTTTGGATTGATTGATTGTCATGTCAGAATTGGTATGCTGAATGAATAGTTATGAATGTAATATTATATCTTCCAAGTGAACATTGAATACTATGGCGTTGTGGGCTAGATTTAATCATTACATTTCTTTGAAAGGGCTAAGACATTTGACCTCTTAGTCCGTGCCAGGGAGCTGTGCGTGAACACCACTAATATGATATCATAATACAATTCATGATTGGTTTTAGATTTGTAAGTGGAATTTTTGCAAAAACCAAAATTTTGTTTTAAATGGCGGAGTGATATATTTAAAATTGAATCGGTAATTAATTGTAATATGCGACATGTTTACTGCTGTTTGGGAAGTTTAATCGTAGTATGAAACATGAATATCGTGTTTATGTTGTTGTAATTTTTCAGATATTATCAACATATACATATATTACTCACTATATATACATACTTGCAGGTTTTTCCAACGCGTACGCATGTCGGCCTGTATCAGGAACAACCAATATCGTTCGAAGATTACTGTAGTAACCTACGCCCTCTTGTGACGTAGTAACCTACGCCCTCTTGTCGATTTCAACGACGTAAGACATGAAAGATAATGAATTGAATTTATCTGTAATAAGAGGAGAGGAAACAGAGATGAACTCTGTATTGATTGACTGGTAAAATCTCGCTGTTCATAAACAAAGGTTTACTTTAACTTCGAGTTTGGAATATGCAAGTCTTTGTTTAATAGTTCCATGCATGTAATATTATTACCTCCATGTTACGAAGATGGCTGTTATTCGGTGGGGTGTCAATGTGGAATTAGCGGGAGTATAATTCATCATTTTCGCATCAATGACATTAAGGGGTCAACATTTTATTTGGGGTGGGACAATAATAACTCCGGAAAGGATAAACAAATGTATTAAATACCGTGATTTTTAACTATAATTTTTGATGACGTAAAACATGCACTTGGGTGCGGGTCAAATAAATGTTTTTCTAAAAACATATAAATAATTCATGATAAGGTGGTCTCTGCCCGGCACGAGTAAGTGAGAGAATCTCAATGTACAAAACACTCATCATTGTCAAAAATAGGTTTTTAAAATTTACAGATAAAGCAAATTCCTAAATACATTTTTATAATAATTTGTGTTTAAGAATCAAAATTGAAAATTGCGTAGGAATTACGACATTTAATTTGGATAATGCTTTATACGCTTCCAAAATATAAGATCTTTGTACAAATTACGGACGAATAACATTTTACACCTTGCCCATGTCTAGATTTTTTATTTACTTAAATTAATTATTACGAAAATAAAAACAATTGATTACACGAAAATACACCCTGTCACCCTCATTGTATTAATGCTGGAAATTTCGAACATGGAATGTGTTTGTAAGCTAACGAGTACAATCTGTGGTCGCTTCAAAATTGTATTACAGACGGAATGAAAACCAAAATATCGCTTGCTTTCTCTTCGAAAGCGACAAACGAAACGAAACACGAAACTACCTTGTAACAATGAATCAGTAACTTTCACCGCTGATGGCGTTTCAGGTCAACACCGTATGGGTAAATGTTTCTCATAAATGTACGGAAAGATCACAATGCACTTTTTTTATCCGTGAAAAATAATTATGAGATGTCAGGTCGTGGTAGAGTGTATTTTTAATTATTCTAGAATTAGTGGAATACCACTTATATATATTAGTATGAGAATATAGTCTATGATTTAAAATGCGGCTTGTATTATTCATGTGTCCGGAACGATATGTACGTGCTAGTTTAGACATGGCTACACTGTGGGATTGTTACTCAATATCACTAACAAAATTATAAAAATCTGTTTTCTGAATTCTAGGTTCTGTATAAAGTATAATGTATTTTTTAACAATAAGTCTCTTTTAATGTGTTCATGTTTTCTGATATGGGATATTGTATTTTTATCATATCTACTGGGTAAATAGTATAAAATAAAATAAAAAATGCGACAAGGCCAGCTTGGAAAAATGGAGAATCGCTGTCTCCAAGATATACTGTGGCTGGTTATTAAAAACTCCGGAACTCAGGATCTATTCGGTCGTTCAATGACCGCATATTTTTGTTTTATTATGAATGGAGTTGTTGCGTGCTTATATTTTGATAACTTAAAAACATATTTTCTAGTCTGAGTTCTATAGAATTCTGCTTTAATGGTACGTTTGAAATTGTTTCAGTAGTTTGGCAGGCGATCAATTTCCAACCCCAACCCCCTGCAGTCACTCTCTATTTAAAAACGCTCAATTTCAGGTCATAGGTCAACTGTCATATGACTTGCACCTCAGATGGATGCCGAGCCGTCGAGTTGCAGTACGTACGTTGTATGACTGAGCACTTCCACCATGAACACTGGGATGATATAATCATAATAACACAGTATTAGGCAGATTAGGAACTAATCCAACGGCAGGTTTTATATAATCGGATATATTCCATACGGAGTGCTGTGAGTCGTGTGCTATCGGGCTTACGAAGAACGTAAACAAGGTAAGCGATAAGACACATACAACGACTTAGTACATACTATGCACAGGTTCAAAAACCCGATAGCATTGACACTGTACATCGCTGTTGACTGCACGGCAAATCTGTAATATTTAGATGATTCCCTGTGTTGATTGTGGTCGTCGTTTCGTGGTATTCAGTTAGCAGTCATCGCTGTGAGTACAGTGTTGTCTGCGCGCACCCGAGGTTTACAGGCGCCGAGTTGCGTAAATAAAGATATCATTTCATGGAAAAGGCGTATTCTCCCTCCTTGTACTGCTATTTACATACTCGTATATAGTGACGATATCGGGCTAAACATGCGATCTCAGAAGGATACACTAAAGACTCTGAAAGAAGTAAAAGACCTTGATATTGCATCTGGCAGACTGGGT